TAATATTTCATGAATAATTTTAATTAAATAATTATTTAAATAAAAATTAATTTTTATTTTTCTTACACTAATTAATAAAAAATATAATAATTACACTTTTAAACAAGTATTAAAAAAACCTTTAAGACAAATCATTCAAGGATTTGGTTTGAAGGGTCAAAAAAGTCTTTCTTCTTTTTATTAGCTAATTGACTAATGAGAAAATTTTAGAGGAAAAAAAAAAATTCTTCACGAATATACCATTTTATGCGCACAAATCCATTATAAAGGATAAATTTAGGGTTTTATAACCTAAAATATATACAACTAAATAAAGAATGTTTCCACTTAAGCCAGAGCAATGCTAGGGGCACTCGCCTCTGCACTCTCCGGACAACACTCCCCCTTTCATTGGGCCACGTAAGCTTGTTTCAGGTTTTGAGGTGCAACCTCCTACCGACCGGAGTAACGTGACCCAATAAAAGTGAAAGTGTTGGCCGGAGAGTGCAGAAGGCGAGTGCCCCTAGCACTCCTCTTCCACTTAAAGAATCCTTTTACTCTACGAGAAGTGCTAGGGGCACTCGCTTCTTGCACTATATGGCCAATACTTCCCTTTTCATTGGGCTCCGTAAGCTTGTTTTAGGCTTTGAACTGCAACCTCTTGCCCACGAAAATAACGTGGCCCAATAAGAGTGAAAGTGTCGCCGGAGAGTGCAAGAGGCGAGTGCCCCTAGCACTGCTCTATACTCTAATAATTGGTAAAAACTAATATTTAGTCCCTTACCTTACAAAATTGATAAGTTTTAGTCTCTCAACTTATAACATAATACTTTTAACCTTTTACCTAGTAAAATTGATAGGTTTTAACCCTTCACCTTATAAATTTGGTAAGTTTTAATTTATCACTTTATATTATAACATTTTTAGCCCCTCATCTATACGAACTGAAAAAAATAACTCTCATTTAATATCAAATTATAACGTTCTATTAATTCACATCAATTAGATAGGCTTTTTGTCTACAGTAAAAATAAGAGTGGGACCATAAAGTTTAAAATAACTAAGTGTAACGGGGACAAACTAATAATTGCGCGAGGTTGCTGGTCCTGTTGGTTTTTAATTGGGCTAAGTGCGTGAATTGTCCTTCTACTTTAATATAAAATACTATCACATTCTCAAATTATTACTTTTAGAAAAACCGAAATAGATACAATGAATTCCTTCTTATAGTCTTAGCTAGTTTAACCCAGTAGAGTATCCCATTCCTGGTGTTATTTAAGGTGTGTTCCCATGGATGTACCTTCCTGAGATTTGATTGAAGAAATATTGCAATATCAAGGACTTCCTTGTTTGAAATCAAACTTTAAGGATAAAATTGCATTTTAGAAGAAAAATGAAGGACTATTCATGCCAATCCTAGTACATAAATATGAGAGACAGAACTTAATTGAGAGACAAACTTAGTCAAATGGCAAGAGCATACTGCCATCGAGAAGTGCTGCCATTTGCAGCCATGATCGGAGCAGAATGCGTCAACGTTGGCTTAAACATTCTGTTCAAAGCAGCCACTTTGAGGGGGATGAGCTACAACATCTTCAGCACATATTCTTTTGCAATTTCCACCATTGTTCTCATACCTTTCCTCTTCATCTTTCCCAGGTCTCCTAAGCATCATCCATTTATATTCATCTTAAATTTCTTTGCAGCAAAAATGAGTAAAAGTTGCTACTTTCTGATACCCTTTGATTTTTGAATCCCCGCAGCACAGCGGTCCTTCCTTCATTCAAGCTCCCTCTTGTTTCCAGAATCTGCCTCCTTGTGTTTGCTGGGTATGTTTGAATTCTTTTTCCACATAAAAGCTGTATCTGTTTGCCTTTAATCTACGATTCTTTATGCAAAGATTGAAGATTGATTCAACTTCTTGGTACAGGTCTTTTGGGAAGATATTGGGATATAAAGGCATAGGGTATAGCTCTCCCACGCTTTCTTCTGCCATCAGCAATCTCGTCCCGGCTTTTACCTTCATACTTGCCATCATTTTCAGGTTTCCTCATTTCTACAATCAGATTTTTATTTACAACTAATTGGCCATTTCCTGAAATCAAAATTTCTTATTCTTTTGATTATACATTTATTTCTCTCAATTATTGTCATATTTTACTTGGAAGAATTAATCAATCAATCAGTTGATCAACTAAGAAGAAAATTGCACATGGCGACATGATACATATAACATCAAATGTTACTATTCTGGGTTTATTCAATCTTGTAGGTCCACTTAGTGGATACTAAGATGATGGTCATTTATTTCCTCTTGAAGTTTTTTGCCTTTTCTCCCCTTTTTCTTTAGTAATCTGATTTTCTATTTGATTGCATGAAAAAGGATGGAAAA